TGGAATTTGACCAATAGAAAAAACAAACATGCAATTAATTATTTATTTTTAAAAAATCAAATTAAAAGAGAATGCTAAATCAATTTATATTTAAAAATTGTTTAATTTTATTCAGTGAGTTTATTAAAAAAAAACTAAAAAATAACCATTAATTATTGATAAAAAAATAATTTAATTTTGAGCAAATGATAAATAAGGAAATAAATAAAAGCACGAGAGAGAGAGAGAGAGAGAGAGAGAGAGAGAGAGAGTTGGGTCGTAAAGAGGATGGATCAGAAGATTTCTCTCTGTGGTTGCATAAGTCCAAACTGAAAATAGGTTTGAGCCATGTAGCTCATATGTCAAAACACAGAGAACAACGAAACTCTAATTGCAAGTTGTTCGTATGAATGCGAAGGCATAGTTTTCTATATCCATAATTTGGTGGATCATATACCTTGATTCATAATGGATCTAGAATTAATGAAGATGAGATGATGGATTATGAAGTGACGTGATGGGAAAAGAAGAATACGATGATGAGTTTAATTTTTGTTTGGTTTTTGAAAAAATTAAAGAAAATCCTTAACTTTTATTTCTTTAATTCTCTTTCCATTTTGTTTTTATATTTAAACAGGTTTTTTTTTTTTTTTTTTTACTTTCGACTATTTTTTCAATTTTTTTGCTACATGACAATTTTATTGATATGCTATCATACATGTCAAAATTTTTGTCACCACTAACGTTTGTTTAGAAAATGGGTCAAAAAAACCTTTGGAAAGGCGGCATTAAAAAAAATTTAGAGAGTAGAATGATACCATAAATAAATAAAAATAAAAAGACAAAACTAAGAAAATATTAAAAGTAAAAAGCCATTATTAATCCAAGCCACACAAAGTCTTAACTAATTCATCCACTTTTTCACTGCTGCATTTACACCAAAAATCATTTTCTTGTGAATTACTCCACTTCTTAACCCTGAATTTTCAGTTTCTTGAATTGACCACAAAACAAGTTATAGATTCAGGATGGGAATCACAAGTTTGTCTGGGCTTCTTTTTATTTCATTGCGTCAACATATATGTGCTGGATTTATTGCATGAGAAAAAGCCCATTGTGCCTCATTTCTACTGGATTTGAAATAATGCCCAACATAGCCCAAATTTTCAAGTTAAGAGAAAAACAAAAGCCCATTGTACCTCATTTCTACTGGCTTTGAAATAATGTCCAACATAGCCCAAATTTTCAAGTCAAGAGAAAAACAAAAGCCCATTGTACCTCATTTCTACTGGCTTTGAAATAATGCCCAACATAGCCCAAATTTTCAAGTTAAGAGAAAAACAAAAGCCCATTGTACCTCATTTCTAATGGCTTTGAAATAATGTCCAACATAGCCCAAATTTTCAAGTTAAGAGAAAAACAAAAGCCCATTGTACCTCATTTCTACTGGCTTTGAAATAATGCCCAACATAGCCCAAATTTTGAAGTTAAGAGAAAAACAAAAGCCCATTGTACCTCATTTCTAATGGCTTTGAAATAATGTCCAACATAGCCCAAATTTTCAAGTTAAGAGAAAAATACCTATTATACCTCATTTCTACTGGCTTTGAAACAATGGCAAACATTGCCCAACTTTCAAGTGAACATAAAAAAAGCCCAACAATCATCTCAAAAGAAAAAGTTTCCGATTGGATGCCCCATCTTTAAACAATTACCCAATTAACAGCACCTTCAAAATTTCAGAAATAAGAGACGTCGTTTTAAGACAAATAGGTCCTTGATTCTTATGATTTTCAAGGTCAAATAATAGGTCAGCATCCAACAGATGGAGGACCCAATTGGAAATTACTTTTTTCATGAAAGACTAAATTTATTTTTCCCACTAATAAAAGACAGACTATCTAGCTGGTCCGAAAACACCTTTATTGTTGAATTAAATAATAATAAAAAAAAACAGGCTATCCATATGGTATTAGAGAATTCATGAAGCTTTTCGCCATTAAAATTTGCACCGCACGTTGAAGTTAACGAAGAAGCCGACCTCTTTAACAGTTAAGTCACTCCTTCCTTGGGTTTTTCATATGATACAAACATTATATAGGTTAGGGACTAGTAATGTACTCTTTTTTGTTCTTTCTAATATCTTTGCATGTATTAATAAAAATTAGTAAGTAAATAAAAAATAGACGACATGGTGTTTCCTTCTCCTCTCTGCAGGTGAATTCTTACAAGCTGCATTGGTTAATAAAAAAGCAAAAATAAACGTATTTGATCCTGATAAATAATTATATAATAGAAACATTTAATTAAATAATTAATTTAAAAAACTTTAATTTGGATGTGGATCTTTTAATCAAGAATGATCTGTTGTCGTTTTCTCAAAGCTATATACTAGTGTTTTTGCCCGCGTTACGTTACGAATTGGATAAAATATATAAAGTCATTTAGAAAAATTATTTTGCTTTGATAGTCTGTTTTATGATTTGAATCTATAAAAATATATAAAATTAAATGTGAAAAAAATTATTTATAATTTTTTAATAAAAAATTTTGTATTTAACTATTTTTTATTTGTGTTTTTCATAATTTTTCCTTTAGAAAAAGAATTTATCCTTGTTAATCCATGGATTATTAACTAAAAAGAAAATTAAATAATTTTTTTTAAAAAAATTAGTATTTCACAAGATTGTGTCAAAAAACATCAATAACAATTATTAAAAGCCTCCATATAATTGAACAAATGTTTTTTTTAATTTAATGTTGATGAGAATATCAGTTTTTTTTTAAATGTAAATTTAATTTTTATATATTTATTTACAAAAGAATGAATAATATTAAAATAAAAACTATATTAATTTGAATCATTAAGTGGTTAAGTGAAAACATAATTTTAATTATTTAATTAAAATAAGTTAATTTTAAAATATTTAAAAATCAATAAATAAATAGTAAATGCTTAGTGTAGTAGTAATTGTACGGTTAATTTTTAAAAAAACTACGATTCAATATTTTTTATATATCATAACTATGCTAAGTGAGTTCGTAGTTTTCGAGTCTAAAACAAAAAGTACTTTAAAAAAAGTTAACTTACAAGGAATCTATTGTCTAAATTTGAAGTTAATAGACTAAAATAAAAATTATTACAAATTTGATTTTGATTAGTTTTGATTATATAAACAAATTAATCACACATGTGAATTCTTTTTTGTCCTCCCGAAATATTTTTTTTATTTTAATGCTATGCACGGCTAGTCCTTGAATATAGGCCTCATGCACAAAACAATCATCTCCTTTTTATTTTTGACATTTGAATTTTAACTATTAATTAATTAATTTGAGTTTTTTTCTAAAAAAAATCTAAAAAAAAAATATTTGGAATACACTTTTAATCTAAAAATATATTTTAGACAAATTATATATATTAATCATGCCACTATAATTTAAAAGTCATCTAAATCTATTTTTCAAAAGAAAAAATAATCATGTTCTAAAAAACTTTATTACAAAATTGATACATATAGAAAAATAAATCAAAACTGTCATTAAATATAATTTTAAATTAATTGTATGAGAATTAAAAAAAAATTAAATTAGTTAATTTTAAATAATAAAAATAATTAACAAAAAATACTAAAACAAAATGAGACTAAATCACAATATAATCAAAGTTTGAAATTGAAAAAAAGAAAAAGAGGATTTAAAAAAATGACAAATTAATGTAGTAAATTTTAAATAATATAAAAAAATTGAGAAAAAATTATTTGAAATACCTTTTAATCTAAAAATGTATTTCGGACAAATTATATATATTAATCATGCCACAATAATTTAAAAATTATCTAAATCTATTTTTCAAAAGAAAAAATAATCATATTCTAAAATTTTATTCCAAAATCTATACATATAGAAAAAAAAATCAAAACTATTAGTAAATATAATTTTAAATTAATTGGATGTGAATTTTTTTTTAAAAGATAAATTAAAGTAGTAAATTTTAAATAATAAAAATAATTAACAAATTAAAGTTTGAAATTGAAAAAAAGAAGAAGAGAATTTAAAAAAACTGATAAATTAATGTAATGAATTTTAAATAAATAAAATAATTAACAAAAAACACTAAAACAAAATGGGATCAAATCATAATACAATTAAAGTTTGAAATTGAAAAAAAAAGTATAAAAAAATTTAGGACAAAAGTATTACAAAATGGCATGAATAGTGAAAGGAATAGTGATTTGTGAGTGTGTGAATATGTAAATGGTGTTTGAAATAGTGAATGAAATAGTTTTTGTGCCGCGCTACTGCTGTGGGTTATAAAAATATATAAAATTATTTAGAAAAATTATTTCAATTTGATTGTTTGTATTATAGTATGAATATATAAAAATATATGAAATCAAAGATATAAAAAATTATTTAATAAAAAATTTTGTATTTAACTATTTCTTATTTATGTTTTTCATAATTTCTCCTTTAGAAAAAAGGTTCATCCTTGTTAATCCATGGATTATTAACTAAAAAGAAAATTAAATAATTTTTTTTAAAAAAAGCTTTAGTATTTTATAAGATTGTGTCGAAAAGCATAAATAACAATTATTAAAAGCTTACATAGAACCGAACAAATAACTTTTTTTTATTTAATGTTGATGAGAATATCAGTTTTTGAAAAAATATGAATTTAATTTTTATATATTTATTTATAAAAAGAATGAATAATATTAAAATAAAAAACTATATTAATTTGAATTATTAAGTGGTTAAGCCAAAACATTATTTTAATTATTTAATTTAAAATAAGTTAATTTTAAAGTATTTAAAAACAAACAAATAAATAGTAAATGATTAGTGTAATCGTAGTTGCACGAGTTGATTTCTAAAAAAATAATAATTTAATATTTTTTTATATATCATAACTATACTAAACGAGTTTAGAGTTTTTAATTTAAAACAAAAAATGTTATAAAAAGTTGGAAAAGACAACATTGGGAAGCTAGTTGTTTATGGTTCAAACGAAACACACAATGCTCTCCAAAAAGCAGCATAAGTTGCAGGAATCCTCAAAAAAGAATTTTCGACCAATAGAAACGACTGAATCAACATCGTTTGCACTATACCTAGATTCATTAAGATTGGCTATTTTCTTAGATATAGAAGCTGGGTTAGTTCCCTTGTTTCTATGTGCCACCATTGGGACAACTGCAACCACAGCAGTAGATCCACTCAGACTATTATGCGACGTTGCAAATCGTTATGGCTTATGGGTAGACGTTGACGCTGCATACGCTGGTAATGCTTGTATATGCCCAGAGTTTCAGCATTTTCTAGATGGCCTAGAGGGTGCACACTCATTCAGTTTGAATGCACATAAATGGTTCTTTACCCCTTTGGATTGTTGTTGCCTTTGGTTAAAAGATCCCAAGGCTCTTCCAAAGTCTCTCACGACAAATCCTGAATTTCTTATGACTAGTAATTCAGAACAAGTGGTGGAATACAAAGACTGGCAAATAACCCTGAGCCTAAGATTTCGATCCATGAAACTGTGGCTTGTGTTAAGAAGTTACGGTGTTGATAACCTCAGAAGCTTCCTAAGAAGCCATGTCAAAATGGCCCAGATTTTTGAAGAACTTGTAGTCAGTGACAAGAGATTTGAGTTTGTGGTTCCTAGAAATTTCGCAATGGTGTGCTTCAGAGCTTTGCCATTGGCAATGGGTAACAAGGTGTATGACAATGGCATGGCTCAGAAAATCACATATGATCAGCATGATCAGGAACGCAATAATCAGCTTAACCAGGAGCTGTTAAAGTCAATTAATGCCTCAGGCCATGTGTATATGACTCACGCAGTTGTTGGTGGACTCTACATTATAAGATTCGCTGTTGGGGCAACCCTTACAGAGGATCGGCATGTGTTCACGGCTTGGAAGGTGGTGCAAGAGCATTTAGATGCCATAATAGCCATCTACTAAGATCATTCCCAGTCAGGTGCCCTTTATAATTATTACCATTTGTTGCTTTTGATTTCGAAAAATAATTATCGATCGGTACAATAATTTAGAATATGAACTTTTAAATAAATGTAACTAGCATGTTGTCTGCACTACCTTTCTGTTAGTGCTTTATAAATAACAACAAAAAAAGCATTATAAAAATAAGAATGCTTAAATATATTGAGGCATGTTTAACAACAAAATAATATTTTATTAAAATTCAAAGTTGTATACATAAATTTTTTGGAATGCATCAAAGCTTTTAACATGTAAAGTGTCATTGGTTTACATGATTATAAAAGAATTTCTATAAGTACCAGCAACATTCTAATTTTGTGCACTAGTCACTAACTTGAATAAGAATCACTTTATGTACCTATCATTAACTTGAATGAGTCGACATATGATAAATACATACCTCAAATTTTATAAAAATGAAATTAAGAATTAGGGATAAACTAAGCAGAATCCATTCAAATAGGAAAAAAACAAACAGATTTAATCGAAGTCTTTATAATGACCAAACCAGTTGTGTCTATTAAAAGAAAACATTAGCTAATATAATGGTATACAATACAAAAGACAAAAAAATAAATATTATTGGCATAAAGCTTGAAGCTCTTTGACCAAAAAACCATCAAATGTAATGATTCATGATGATGTAAAAACATGAACAACTTGTTCATGAAAGACATGGTTGTGTCGACCCTTAAAGCTACTCGAAACTCTTTCATAAACTAGAAGATGAAGGGCAAGATAATTTTAAAACATTTAGCAAAAACAATAGCTTTTATAGCTTTATTTTAAATATTATATTTTTACATTAACTCTCTTGTATCTTAAAAGAGACGACCATCTTTTATAAATCACATTGTCAAAATACAAAAAAATATGATTCGAGATTAAAAAAAAACGAAGAAATAAAATAAAATCATTTTATAATTTTTCATTGAAAATAATTAAAGCCACAATTTCTATATAACTATTTAACCAATTCCAAGAATCTCCTTTGAATCACTAAATGCTACGCAAAAAAAAGAAAAGATAAAAAAAAAACATCATCCCTCATTGCAACCAAGTAAAAGATGAAAAAAAAAACAATAAAACTTTGATTCCATAATTTGCAATCACATAACCAAAAAGATTTCATGGAGTTAAATTATTCACAACCAAGATATATGTTCTCGATGCCCTAATAATTTTATCAAAAAGAGGATTTCATTTAATATAAATCTATAAAAGAGCATTGTCAAAATACGGTCGGTACATCTCAAGCTATAATTACGACATCTTAGATTGAAACCAAAATGCCATCAATTCTTTTAAGGTTTATCTAAAAGACTAAAACCTTCATATTGTTGTTAAGATTTATACACCAACCAAGATATTTTATGGCTTATTATGAGTGCAAAACAATCATGATAGAACATAACTCACAAATATATTGAAGAACCCTCAAAAAATATTTAAACATTCACATCTTAATGTATCAAATAAGAGTTTCTATTACGACTTATAAGATACACTCTAAACGTGATGATGAATATGAATGATAAGCATGCCAACCATCTAAGCAATATATGGACTATGAAAAAGCTTGCGGGATTCATTACGATCATTCGAGCAGCGCATGATATTTGTGTAAAAACAAAAGCGAGAACATAAATAATTAACTTAAAAATTGGGATTTAGAGTTAGCACAACCATATAAAATTTCAAGCATTTAGAACTTTAAGAGACATTTCAATGTTGCAATTTTTAATTTTTGGGCGAGTCACTAAAGAAACTACAATCTTTGCTTTGAAATTACATCACTCTTTATCCATTCAAGAAGGTGAAATAGTTTATGACAATTAGAAAAAAAAGGTGAAATAGTTTATGACAATTAGAAAAAAAACTTACCTAGTTGTGAGCACATAAGTGAAGAAAAAAAATCATAATAATTAGAAGCAACCACAACCGGTAGATGTAGGTAAAAACACTAACATGGATTGTAAAAAATTCATCGCAGTTGTTCTCAACAAAATTGCAATAAATAAAATCTTGTAGCATAGTTTATCAAGGATTCAAATGAAGCAAAACAATAGATGCACAAAAAGTAATTAAAAAGGTGAAATCTATTTTCTTTGCATGGTCACGATACTGTAGAATTCCTTCATCCTCTCTAAAACATGAATCAAAAGCCTCCATCCATCTTCTTAAAAGCTTGAAATAGCAGTAACACACATGCAAAGTTCGAAACCCGAAAAAAAGCATGAGAAAATGAAATGGAGCAAAAGGAAGACTAGAAGAGTTGAAAATTAAAGACTTAAGTCATAACCACCATCTCCAAAACTAAATATAATTCCTCCATATCTAAAGCAATTAATTATCAAATAAAAGAGAAAAATCTTACCATAAGAATAGTTGGACTAGTCCGAGCTTAATTAAAGCCTTAGGTCGATTACGACCAACCTAAGCCCTTTCTAAAAAGAGAGAGAGAGAAAAAGGTTGGTTTGTCTAGCGAGCTAGCTCAATAAGCTTGCTCCAATGAGCCCACGAACCACCTAAAAAATGCCTAATGTTTTAGTTTTTTTTTTTTTATGTTTTAGATAATTTGTCTTGAGTGTTTATTTATGTATGTTTATTTTCTATTTAATTTATATTTTAATATTATAATCTTCTTAGAATTTTATTTAGTTAATTTTAATTTTTTGAATTTTATTTTCACAATTAGTTTAGATAGCTAAATAATAGGTAAATTGTCGAGTCTCTTAATTCTTAGAGATTGATGATGATTCTTTATCGACAAAAAAAGGCAAAATATAAAATGATAAAAAAAGGGAAAGCATACTTTGATTTTAATTTTTTTCATAATTAGTTTAGATAACCAAATGATAGGTGAATTGCTAAGTCTCTTAATTTTTAGGGATCGATGACTATTCTCTATCGACAACACACACACACACACACACACACACACACACACACACACATAATGATAAAAACAAGAAGTATACTTTAATTTTTAGTTTAGATAATCACGTGATGGGTGAATTGTCGAGTCTCTTAATTTTTAAGAATCGATGATGATTTTTAATTTACAAAAAAATATATAAAATGATAAACGAAAAAGAAAGCATACTTTAATTTAAAATTTTTTGGTTCCATAATTAGTTTAGATAACTAAATAGTGGACGAATTGTCGAGTTTTCTAATTCTTAAGGGATGATGACGATTCCTCACTAAATCATAAGTCATCAACATTTAATAATTAGGATGTTCTCCGACACATCGGTTCTATCGAGGTTTAAAATGGACCCAATGTTTGAATCGGTGTGCCATCCGATGAAAGGGATTGATCATTTCAATATGATGCCATGTCTCAAAAAAAAAAATTTGATTCAAAAAATTTGAGTTCAAATCGCAAAAATAATTTGGTACAAATAAAACACTATAATGAAGAGATGAATTTGGGATTAAACTAGACATGACACCTTTTTTAGGAAATGGCATTTTTGGGAATCAATATCTTTTCAAAGTGTAACCAACTCCTTATTTTAGAATCTTTGTACTAATGTTATTGTTAGGTTCATAATTCCACTAAGTGACTCAATAATAACTCACCCCACATCTCCAGAATAACCCATAAATGAGATACAAATCTCTAAAAATCTAGAATTTTTAAGGAGTTTCGTCCGACATCAAGTAGTGACAATAAGAACTAACCATAATCAAATTAAGAGATTTTTCAATTTTTTGTAACGAAAAAGATGAACAAAACTAACAAATGATAATTAGTCATAAACAACATAAAACTAATCAAATTCAGGAAAGAATTAAGACAAAAAAAAAAAAAAAACTTACAAAGCATAAAATAGTAGTTCTTCACCTCATGTAAATCGACTTTTCGGTAGTCTGTAAAAAAAGCAACAAAGAAGTTGAAAAACAGTTATAGTCGCCATTCACACAAACACACATAAGGGAAAAGTCCGGAAATAAATAAATAACACAATCTTAAAAAAAAAAATAAAGTCGGTAAAAGAGATGAGACAAACCTAGAAGGACGACATAATGATATAACGAGTCCAAATTGCATCAACCAAAACTATTAATAGATCAATAAAAAAATAAAAGAAATTGAGACTCATCGGTAACGTGAAAGAAATAAAAATAAAAAATAACATAAGAAACTATTGGTATACATAAATTTTGAAACCCATGTATCGATTGAAATCGATATGTATTTATATACTAAAATCCCGCACCTTAATCGAATGATGCATTCTTAGAATCTTAATGAAACGATGCGTTTGGTTTCACAAACCAATCAATATCGACGAATAGAGATTTGAGAATATTAAATAAAATGATACGTTTGGTTTCACAAACCAACCAATATTAACAAAACGAGAGATTTGAGAATCTTAAATGAAATGATGCATTTGGTTTCAAAAACCAACCAATATTAATGAAATAGAGATTCCGTTTGGTTTCACAAACAAACTAATGTCGACGGACGGATAGGAAAATAAAACACGATAACTGTTTGCTCTTAAATTTAAAACTCTAGACAATTATCAATAAAAAATGATTTAAAAGAAAAAGAAGGACGACAAACAAGAGGAAAAAATCACGATAAGATTTCTCTAAAGATTAATTTTATCCTGTTTTCTTTATAATAACCTTTACTTTCCTGTAAGTAGATCAATAGTGTTTATCTTGCTTTCTAGTAACTTAGGATTTTTAATTTCAAGGATTATCAAATGGCTTCAACACCATCCAAGATTGTTGATGTAAGTATTATATCTTTCAATTTATAATATTTATATCTCAATTTGTTTTATTGAATGTTTGTTTCTTTCGATTAACAACATTCTCATTTATTTTCATTTTTATTACTCAAATCGAACTATCGTGTAAAATGAAACGATGCGTTTGGTTTCACAACTAACTAATATCGACATAACGGAGATTCCGTTTGGTTTCACAAACCAATT